TTGTCTGCACTTAATGGCCACACCCAAGTAAGAATAACATGAATTCCCCATTACTTTTACAGAGCAACATTTCTATACTCTAAAGCAGAGGTCCACAACCTTTTGGGCACCAGGGACCGGGTCCGTGGAAAGAGATTTTTCCACGGACCGGAGGGTGTGTGGTTTTGTGTGCTGCCTGCATCTCACGGATGGGGCTTTGCTTGCTGGTGTGGACCGGTTGTTGGCATGCGGCAGCCCGGTACTGGTCCATGGACTGGGTTGGGGACCCCTGCTCTAAAGTAAATCCAAATTTGAGAAGGCATCACTTTCCCTTGCCAATGAGGATAGCCTATAACAAGATTACCTGGTGTAGTTTAGTGTTTCAGTGTGGTTTTATTTGAAGAATTTGGTTATTTAATAACATTTATATGGCTGCCCAACTCACTTTCAGTGACTCCTAACAGCTTATAAGAATAAAAACCCAATACAAAAACAGTGAGAGCCCACCCTTCTGGTGTTAACAATCAAATGAACCTTTGATGGGCTCCATCCCCTTCTGAGGTCCCCAGGCCTTCATGGTCTTGTGAAAAAGTGTGTCATGGTTGACTCGCTACGCAGCCTGCTTGCAACCAGACAACAATAATGGGAGGAGGGAGGGCATTGGAGTGCAAGTGTGCCATCTAGAAACCTGAGACAGTTCCACCACCAAAGTCACCAACTCTGAGAATGTCCGAGGCAAACAGATTGTTCTCAAAACAACCCAGGTGCAACCGATTGGTGGACAAAGCACCATGGGAGGACCAGGGGGGGAAAAGGGGAATTTATCTTATGCTTTCGCACACAAAATGTTAGAACTGGCTTTTCCACTTCTGTACCCACATGGCTTTTCAGTAGAGTATACTCTTGGAGAAAAAAAATGTCTCAGGAGTTTCTTTTGCTGGCTAGCATATTGGGATGGTTGACAGAGTCTCAAAGTGGGGGCCAATTTTATTTCCGCAAGGACGATGATCCATGGGGAGGGGAGCCATCATAGAGAAGGCCCTTCTTCTTAGTCTCACTAGATGGACTTCCTTAGGAGAGGGGACCCATAGCATTCACTGCCTTCCCACTCTGGTGGGTCAAGTAGATGTGACTCGGAAAGAAAGTGTGCATATTTTTCTTAAATACAATGTGCAAAAACAGAGAGTTTATTCTGAGTATAAATCCATTCAGGATTTTGGAAAATGTTATTCAAATGGTTGATAAAAGATGTAAAAAAAAAAAAAGACTCTGAGGAACACATGGGATAAAAACATTAAGCCAACAACTATTTTTTTCAAATGCACGTGGAATAGGAAAATGACGAGGGAGGCCCTTGGACTATTCAATGATAGGGCATTAAAATGGGCTGATGGAGGACAGAGAAATAGCAGAAAAACCAAATGTATTACAGTTTGTCCTCTACTTACAACCATTCATTTAGTGACTGAATGCTAGGTTGTTCCCATTTTACAAAGCCCTCAATAGGTGTACCAACCAGCTTCAACTAGCTTTGTGCTTTTCTACAGACAGGCTATTGCCTCATCCAATTCAATTCAAGGGGAACCATCAGTTGTATGGGGGTCATCTGTTGCTGTGAGAACTATAACCTGTGTCTTCTTTCAAATATTCAAATCTTTCAAATTTTTTGGGTGCTTTTTCAAGTGATGCATATGTTGAAACCCTCCTGAGCAAACTTTTCTGCCTTCGTGGCCAGCCTTAGGTGGGTTTCATATCCTCCTCTCCTCCAAGCATTCATATTTCATTCACACCAATATATGCCATAATTATTTAGAATGGCATCATATACTGGCATATACTGGCATTCATATAAAAGTTTTAATTTACTAATGTGGTTATACACATTAGTATTACAGTAAGCATATTCTAAGAGCATCAACTTGCTTTTGAATGAATGTGCTGTTAAATTCTTGGCATTCTGTTTTGGTTTAAGAAGGGCCGTTTCTAGGTGTGGGTGCCATCCTAACACACCTTTGCTTTTCTTAACTGTTCTTGCTGTTCAAGGGTACCATCACTGCAGTGATGAAGAGAAGCAGTAGTAGGCATCTGAGCCCCTTCCATCTCTGGTCCCTTTTGCTCTTTCTTGTGAGTTTGGTTCTCTCCCAATTCTACCACTGGGATTGCCAGTTTCAGTTGCCCTGGGAATAGGTACAGCAATAGAGCAGCTTGGCCAGACCAAAACCAATTCCACAGTGTGGGTTTGCCATTGCCTCCTTCCTAGGGCTGAGAGAAAGTGGCTTGCCCAAGATCACCCAGCTGGCTTGGTCCCTAAGGTGGGACTTGAACTCATGATCTTCAAGTTTCTAGCCTGGTCCCTTAACTACTAAACCCATTCTTTTGTCCCCCTGCTATGTTGTGTCTTTGTAGAGCAGGGGTGTCAAACTGCCGGCCCGTGGGCTGGATGCATCATAGCAAAACCGTGCCCATCCCATTGCTGGCAATGACAAAAAAGTTGCGGTACATCGCGACACGTCACGGGATGTTGCGAGTTTGACACCCCTGTTGTAGAGTGTGAGCCTTACAGCAGTGACCTCCTCGTTTTTATTCAAGAATAAACCCCCACAGACTCCATTGGCTGAGTCCTTTGGGATTGTATAAATACTGCAAAACGAACAAGAGGTTAATAATCAGATACTTACTACCAGTTTAATATTATAAAACAGTTAGGTAGAAAATAGGGTAATTTCATATTTTGTTGAAAGTTTTGTTAGATCTAAATCAGCATTTCTCCATTTCAGCTACAGTACTTTAAGATGTGTGGACTTCAATTCCCAGAAATCCCTAGCCAGCGTGGGGAATTCTGGGAGTTGAAGTCCACGTAACTCAAAGTGGCTGAGGTTGAGAAACGCTGATCTAAATCATGTTCTTCAAGTCAGAGCTGTTTTAAGACTCACTATAGCCAGCAGATGGCAACATAAACAGTAGCAAAATCCTTCAACAGTTTAAAAGAAAATTATTGTTTTTTTGTACAAAGTCAAATCTCCTGTAAGTTATACTTGTTCCTTGTAACTTCATGATTACTCCCCCGTAATTTCCTTAGCTGTATTGCCTTGGATTGCCTTCCTGACCTCCCAATCTAACCTAAGGTCATAGGATTCCACATCAAAATCACGTTACCCTCTTTGATCACATCCTATCCTGTGGGATCAATCACAGTCACATATGCATTGGAGATTAGCTGAGCACCTCTAGTGATGAAGATTGTTATAATATGGGTGGAAGAGTATAGCACTTTAGTGGGGAGGACAACAGTTATCTAGTTCCAAAGACAGCCATTGCACGAAAAAATATGACACCTATTGACTTAAAATTACAGGGGCGTTGCAAAGGGGGAAGTGACCCTATTGTGGTTTGTACTGGATGTATGTGCTTAAACAGTATAGAGCCTGCTGACCTGCTCTTGCTGACTTTCTGCTTTAGTGCTACTCTTAAATGATCAATATCTTGTTGCTGGAGCATAAACAAAAAATCATAATGGACAATGAATTTACCAGAAGAGACAGAGTGATAGATCTGATGATATTAGGAGAAAGAGGGCCAGATTGCTGAATCTGAATAATCCCCAGGGAGCAACTTTGACCAATATGGTTTTGATCTTGGCATAATTTGAATCCTATTTAAACTATCTATTTGCATTGGAACTGCAAGATCAAAAGAATATTTTGTATATTTCTTTTGTGGATCTCTCCTTCCCACCAACCCTCCAGTCGGTATTCTTGAAATTAACTTGTTTACATTTGTTTGTTCTTAATAAGAGTCCCCTGTAACAGAAATGGGAAAGGGAGCAACAGAGATTCGAGGATCCTTTGCCTTAGCCTTTGCTGAGAGTTGCTTATTTTATTTTTTCAAATATTTTCTATTCCAGCCTTACCTCCCCCTTTTATTACAATTTTTGCAGCTGCAAGCTCTTCAGCAACATGCTAAGTATCTATCATTATTACAAAAGTGCCCTTTTCCAGGATACCCCATTTTTTCCCATGATTTCAAGTCATGCCCTCTCTGTTAACCAGCATATAATTCCTGGCAGACCTAGTATCTTCACTCCTTATTTGGCTCTAAGAAATTAGTCTTCAATTAACTCTGACAGTAAATATTCCCCTGCACAAATTAAGTGTCCTTTGGGTCATTACAAGAAAAGGCTGTGTAATTCAACTTGGCTAAGGTGATTCTGCCCTCTATCTCACCAGGCTCAGAAGGCATAATGTTGCAGGATCCAATCTGGGTCGGTCACCGAGACCACAGGTTTAGTCTTCTGAGCTTTTGGACATATGCTAGATAGAGCCCATTCTCAGGGAACTTCTCCCTATCAGAGTGTGTGCTGTTCTGTGTGTGGTATTTATGTGGTGCCTGTTCTCAACATCTACAAAGACACATACAAACAAGCAAGCAAGCAAGCAAACAAACAAACAAACAAATAAATTCCCATCACTAGACACAGTCTTTCACCTCTATGATTTAAGTCAGAAACCAGCAATCCAGCACAAAACCTGGCAGCCTCAGTTTATCTACTGAGTTCCGATCTTTCATTGCCTCCTCGTGAATTCAAATCCAGCTTGGATGATGCCTGCGTGTCAGCCTTAGAATCGACCAGTGCAAACCATGATTTTTTTTATCTAAGCTTCCACATTACAACCAAATAAAACCAAGTTCAAGAGTTTATTTATGAACACTTCTAGGACCCATCTAAAGAGGAAACTTGGACTGTCATCAGCACTTTGGGAAGGGCGGGTTTAGGACGTATGAACCACCTGACACAATTGCTTCTTGGTTTCCTTCATCACTTCAACAGGATATTTTGTAGAGATCAAATGATGTTTCCCTGGCACCTGTTTCTGTTATAGGTTTTTTTTTTCATTTTCCTACATAAGAGAAAGGGAAATACTGTAGAAAACCAGTTAGCAAAGGAGGGCGGAGTATAACAATCTATGTTTGGAGATAACAATCCAAAAGTGGCTGGAGAAAGACTTTAGTTCCATACATTTTATTTTGATAAATTGGTTTGGCAGTTTCTACAGGGAAGAAACTGAACCAGAAACAGCGCATCATAAAAAGGAGCATTCAAGAAATAACTGTATTTTCTTGCATTTTGAGCAGCTATTGCTACAATGTTATGGGGTATAATTTACCAACACCTTCAGCCTTCCTTCTTTTCTTCTTTCTCTTTCTCCTTCTTATTATTCTGCATCAGAGCAGAACAGGTACTGCTCACGCAGAAACCAGCCTGGATATCAGGGCAGCTTGGAGACCAGATTCAAATGAATTGCCAGCAGACCAACACAGATCACAATTGGATGTACTGGTATCGGCAAACAGTAGCAAAGCAGCAGCTGGAACTGATTGGTTACATAGGTAAGGGAGCATCACAAGCCACTTATGAAGATGGATTTGAAAAACAAAGATTTGAGATTCAACAGAAGCATAGTAAACACTGTTCATTGCAAATCAACAAAATGAGCTCCGAGGATGCTGCTGTTTATTTCTGTGCTTCTAGCTTCACAGTGCTAAAATGTTTCAGGAGCTCCCTGCAAGAACCGTCTCATGAGTCTTCACATGGAAGCTTGGAGTCAAAATTCGCATCTCTCTCTCTTTCTTCTCTCCTATGTGTCTGCAGAAGGTAGATAAAAGAAGTAAAGATAGTGGTCATACATCTATCACACAGTACTAAACTTCTCTGTTGAATGGATGATGTAGCTGGACTACCTGGACTACCTGGACTACTGTGCATGTTTACAAATCAAGGTAGTCTTATGAGTCTTGCAACAAATTAGGAGAGAACTTCAAGCTCCTCCCACATGAATAGGAGAATCAGATTGGTTTGGATAAAACCTCAAATAACGTAGCTTCTTAAGAAACAATAGTTATGTAGTTCAATATACTTGAAAGATGTTCACAAATCATTTCAGAGTAGACAACTAGAGAAGACAAATATTTTTCTTCCAGGCTTTAATGAGTGCTTATAGATGTTTTGTAAGAATATTTAGCAAATTTATATGCTTTTAAATGTTTCATATTTTCTAAATAATGCTTAGTAACTGTTAGATAAAGTAGTTGTATTTCATCTTGAAAAAGGGCTAAAATTTTGAGCAGGGATTCTCCAGTTCATCACCAATGCACTACACAATCTCAATTATATCCCTCTTGTTTAGCTAAAATTTTAATCTTTATGTTGTTGTTCTTAACTTCTCTGTAGAGATGTCTTTTTCTGACCAGGAAAGTAGATAATCAATCAGTCAGTCAAAATTGATTTTGGTCAAAGACCATTTTAGAAAACAATCTAAGTTTGGAGATAACGGTCTAAAAGTGGCTGGAGAAAGACTTTATTTCCATAAATTTTATTTTAATAAAATTGGTTTGGCAATTTCTACAGGGAAGAAATGGAACCAGAAACATCGCATCATAAAAAGGAGCATTCAAGAAATAACTATATTTTCTTGCATTTTGAACAGCTATTGCTATGATGTTATGGAATATAAATTACCAACACATTCCTTGTCCATCTCTGGGGAGATTGTTCAGCCCCCACAACAGAGTCATAAAGAATATTCTGGAGAAAGGATACCAGTTTGATGTAGCATTAAGAAAGGAGAAGGGAAAAATGGACTGTTACAGTATGTCTTTCTGAACAGAGAACACTTTCAGAAACTCTGCACCTGCCTGCAAGACTTTGAAGATACTCACCAGTTCCACAGCTGTCACTATTCCTGGAAACCTTCACTTCACTGCTGGAAGTGGTGACAGAGTAGAAAAGTGAAGTCTTTCTGTATGAGACTCAATCATTGTGGGGACTGGGGGCACAATGATTCATTTCATGGAGACCCCTTTACAAAAACCCTCCCTTGCTTACCAAATAGGATCTAGCCGCAATTGCCATAGTAGATTGTACAATACAGAACTGGGTGGCTTTTTTTTTTGCCGAGATCTCTGTCTCTTATGACAGAGTCTCCCCTTATGTCTCCTACACATACAATCCAAAATATGGATCCAGTATGTATATGACACCTTTGTTATAATAAGAAAGGACCATCCAGAGAACACACATGAAATCATCAACACATACAAAGGGATAAAATTCACAAGAGAAGAAGAAGAAAAAGATAACAACACACTACCTTTCCTGGATATCCATATCAATGGAGACAGTGATGGCAAACTAGAAACACAGGTCTATCAAAAAACTACCCACACCAACCAAGTGCTTCACAACCAAAGTAACAACCCAACCTCCCATAAGAGAAACTGTGTACGAACACTATTTAGATGAGCACAGACACACTGCACCAACCCTGAACATTAGAAAAAAGAAAACAGATCATCTATACAACATCTTTCAATAAAATGCATATCCATGCAACCTCATCCAAATATGTCTGGTCACTCAATCCAATATAGCACAACCAACATAAGCTGTGAAAAGGATAACACTACAATACATCAAAAACTTCTCAGAAATCACAAACAGATTATTACAACCACATGGCACCAGTGTAGCAACAAACCAACTAAAGCCCTCCAAAAGATCCTAAATAACCCAAAAGACCCAGCATCCCCAGAAAAAAAGCAGGAGTCATCTATAACATACAGTATAAGGATTGCAACAGCCACTATGTAGAATGAACAGGCAGAAGACTAGCAGAGTGCATCCATGAACACCAACTAGCAGTCAGAAGACATAGTGAAATTTAATCCTTAATTTCCATGACACATGGACAGACAATCATTTTTTTTAAACTGGGAAACAGTGACCATCCTCAACCAAGCCAGGTCCAACAATACTAGAGAATTCCTGGAAGCCTGGCACTCTGACAGATTGACCATCAACAGGCACATAGACATAAACAACATCTACATACCATTCAAAAGAGACAATCAACAAGCCAAAAAGGGGACAAAAAGACTGAAACACTTCCTCACCAGCAATCAACACCCAGATGAGCACAGATTAACAACAAGATTAACATTAGATTAATAATCAAGAAGTAAGCAACATCCCAGTCAAGGAACTGCCAAACAAGCTTACAATAAACAGCCCAACAAAGAACCATCAAGACCACTCCTACCAACACTGACAGGACAAGCTACTAGAATATAAAATGAGAGCAAACCCACTTCCTGTTAGCACTGATGATGTTGCCTAGTTTGGGTAATGAAATGTCTGCAAGAAAACAACCAAGCTCAGAGAGCACCAAGGACCTCTCATTTCAACCCTGAGCTACAAATAGGACCTTAATTGAGCCTGGAATTATGGTTGTAACTTGTGCTGGTTGTTAAACAGGTCATCATGTGACTGAACTGATTTTACAGTTTTTTTACGGTAGTCATTAAGTAAATCACAATGATTGTTGAATGAATCTGCAGTTTTTAAGCAAACACTGCAGTCAATTAAGTGAACCCACAGTCCACAATGGGCGTTTTTTGCCAGAAACCAAAAATAAATGCCAGTTTCCAGCAAAAAAATGTCAAAAGTTGCATTCACACGATTGCAGGATGCTGCAAACAGACGTAACTGTAGGCTGGTTGCTGAGTGCCCCAAATGTGATTGGGTGACCATGGGAGGGCAGCTGTCGGAACTTCAAATCCAGGTTGTAAATATCTTTTTTATGTGTCATCATAACTCTGAATGTTCACAAGTCAGGGACTACTTGTATATAAGTATATAAACTGGTCTCTTCGTACATTATCTTTAGTGAAGCATGCAAACCAGCATTTGCATTTCTTGCATCAGGTGGGGAGAGCACATCTTTCTCTTTCTCTCCTGGCCACTTTTTACAGAGGGACAATTGGGAGCGTTTTAACAAACTGCATCACTCTTTGGTTTGGTGGTAGCAGTGCCTCAGATACCATACAGACAGTGGTAAGGACAGCTGAGAAGATTATGGGAAGCTCATTTCCCATGATTCAGGATACTGCTTATAGGCACTATGTGCTTAGAGCTCAAAGCATTGTTAGAGACCCCACAAACCCACTTCATGGTCTGCTTCTATTGCTGTGCTCTGGGAGGAGGTTTCAAAGTATTTATAGCAGAACTACTAGATTCTGTAACAGTTTTGTTCCTTATGCCAGGGCTTTTCAACCGGTGGTACGCGTACCAGAAGTCATCTATAAATGGGCATCTCTCGACAGTGCTGGGGAGAGCTGTGGGAAGAATGATGTACACAGAGAGGATCGGGGAACCTGGATCGAATGCTGGGCCCCAGTAGGGGAAAAATGACTGGGAGAAGTAGCCGGTTTGTAACGTACGTGCCTGAAAATGGGAGGTGAACCGGCAACATCCCCACCCTGCCTGTGTGCTCTCCTCTGCCTCTGCACGAGCACAGGCAGGGCCATGATGTCAGGCAGGGCCGTGATGTGTTGCTGACTGCCAAAACCAGGCTGGGGTCTGGGCGGTGTAAAACAGGACGAAGGAACAAAGGGACAATGGGAGCTGCAGCACTGCAGCCTTCCAGTCCCGTGAGCATCCCTGCGCCATTTGGCTGTGGTCCAGGCCTTGCGTTCATCAGCTGTTCGGTGGTTGGGAGACAGAGCCTTTCAGCTTCAGGCCATGCCATCGGCCCTTGGCTCCCTGCCACAGCCTCATGCCCATCAGCAGTTTGGTGGCTAAGAGTAGGAGCCGCTCAGCTGTTCATGGGGCCAGAAGTCAGCCTCGTGCCCATCAGTTGTTCTGTGGCCAGAAGTCGGAGCCACTCAGCTATTGGTTGGGACGCCCACGGAGCCGACACCCACACTGCCAGGTAGAACGGTGCCAGCCGCTGGTCTCCTTTGCCGCCCCGCATGTTGTCCTCGACCCCTCCCCCACCCGTTCATGTCGAGCCCACGGGGGCTTGACAGGGAGAGAGGGAGGGAAAGAGGAAGGGACTCCTCCTCCTCTCCTAAGGTTCAAAGCATGATCAGCTTCCCAAGGGCGCCACAATCCTCATGAAAGCGGGGGGAGAAGCAAAGGGGGCAAGAAAGCTCGCGGCGGGCTCAAAGAGCATGTATCAGCACCTGTCAGGCTAGGCAAAGAAAAGCCACAGAGCTGCGAGCTAAGATCACAGGCAGGCCAGGGAAGGGGGTGAAGAAGAGGAAGGGAATTGGGAGAGAGGAAACGCCAAGCTTGTCCTCGCCTCTCCCAAGGACCTCCTGCGCCACCTCACAGGAACACCTGGTTTCAGATTTATGCTGCAAAAGTTTTTCTCGCACAGAGGAGAGAGGAAAAACAATTACAGAACATTCGGGAATCCCTTGCAAGGCACCATGTACCTTGGCGCTTATTTCCTAACGCCTTCCCCCGTGTTTTCTGCTCCACCCCGAATTTGCCTCCCTTCCACTCCATTCTTCATTCAGAAGAATGAAGGGGTGCGAATCGGCATGTGCTCAGAAATGCCAATTCTGCGCCCCTGCCCTCTCACTCACACAAGCAAGTGAGCTGGGCAAGAGCCCAGGATCAGCGTGTGCAGCTACAGCTGAGCCGCACTTCTGCTGAGCCACCCAGAAGCGTGGATCAGCTGTAGCCCAGTGCTGATCCTGGTGCTTCTGCTAAATTAGCAAGCAGCATGTTTTCTGGCGAAGCATGAGCAAGTGAGCTGGACAAGAGCCCAGGATCAGGGCGCACAGCTACAGCTGATCCGTGCTTCTGCAGAGCAGCCCAGAAGCGCAGATCACCTATAGCTGTTCTCCTGGGCTCCTGCCCAGCTCATTTGCTCGCGCTTTGCTGGAAAACATGCCACTTGCTAATTTAGCAGAAGCACGGATCAGCTGTAGCCTGGCGCTGATCCTGGTGCTTCTGCTAAATTAGCAAGCGGCATGTTTTCCAGCGAAGCACGAGCAAGTGAGCTGGGCAGAGCTCTCCTCTGCTTCTGCCTCTGCGCGTGCACAGGCAGGTTTGGCATGTCGCCATGGCCATCGGCAGCACAGCCGCCAGCCATGCTGGCAGCCTGTCCCCCTCCCCTTGTCCCTTCCTGGGCACGGAGGGGGGGAGGAAGAAAGGGACAAAGAGGGAGGGAGGGAAGGAAGGACAATGAGGGAGGGAGGGACAATGGAAGGGAGGGAGGGAAGGAGGAAGAGACAAAGAGGGAGGGAGGGAAGGAAGGAAGGAAGGAAGGAAGGAAGGAAGGAAGGAAGGAAGGAAGGAAGGAAGGAAGGAAGGAAGGAAAGAAGGGACAATGGGAGGGAGAGAGGGAGGGAAGAAAGGCTCCCATGCCTGTCCCACCCCATCCACCAGAGACCCACGGATCCCCTCCCACATCCCTGCCCGCACCCCCCACAGGCACCCTGCAACCTGAGTGATGAGCTGGCCATGCCCCCCTGGCCATTGACTTCATTTGTCAAAAAGTTGCAAAAGGTGATCACATGACCCTGGGGATGCTGCAACAGTCGTAAGTGTGAAAAATGGTTATAAGTCACTTTTTTCAGTGCTGTTGTAACTTCGAACAGTCACTAAGCAAATTGTTGTAAGTCGAGGACTACCTGTACTTTATCATTTTTTTCCTTTTTTGGGGGGTCATCGAGTTTTTGACACCTTGCTGGACGACTGGTGGTACTCGGATATTGCCTTATCCTAAAAGTGGTACAATGGGTGAAAAGGTTGAAAAGCCCTGCCTTATGCCATCTGTCTTGTAAATTCACAGGATTCCTTTTTTTCGCCATGTATATGTATACATTGAACTAGACTGGTGTTTCTCTGTGTCATATGTGTGTATTTATGTGGGTATATGCATGATGGTATTTTTTTTGAGAGCTGAATTCAATGAAATTTCATTTTAATGTATACTGATTAGTGTACATTTAAAGTGACAATAAAAATTCCCTTCCCTTCCCTTCCCTTCCCTTCTATTCTATTCTATTCTATTCTATTCTATTCTATTCTATTCTATTCTATTCTATTCTATTCTTATCATGCAATATAGTAGGCAAAGAAAAAATATATAAAAATATGGGGGAGGGGAAATCATGTTCTTCAATGATGTTGGATGATTAGGTGGGCAATCTGTGCTAGTGAACAAGTTCTGCTCTAAGATAATGCCATTTGTCTCTAAAATGCCTCTGGTTTTTTTGGCTATTTTGGAAAACGGACCAACACAGCTGTCCCTCTGGAATGTGGCTCTTAAGTTTGCGAGATATATTCTTCACATTCATCTTAGGAAAAAGAAGAGATCAACAAATTTAGTTGAAATTACTCAAGATTACGAGAATAAATAATGAGGTTCTGGAGACAGAAGAAGAGAGAAATCACCCAGACAGAGAACCTGAACTGACAGAGACCTCTGATTTAGTTCATTTTTCCTCATTAAGAGATAAAAAGACCCAACATTTTCCAAAAAGTTTGTTCATTTATGAACTTATCTTTTGTGTTAATGAGAGATGATTCACACACTAGTTAATTTGTCTCCAGCCGATAAGTTCTCTGGGATATTCTTGTAATTCTCTTTAATACTGTGTTAAACACACAGCTGTACTTTGGCCAGGGAACCAGACTGACAGTCCTAGGTAAGTTCACCAAAGATTGTTTTGTGTGGTTTTCTTGCCTGAGCCCTGTTAAATACATGAGATTAGTGGAAGTGTGTGGTTCAGCTTGCTTAGAAAAACTTTAGAATTTTATAATTGTACACCCAAAGTTAAAAATGATAACTCTTTTCTAAAAGAAAATAAATAAATAAATAAATTTTAGTGATCATCAAGCTCCACCTTGATCATAAGATTATACATAATTATTAATTTTAATTAAATATTGAATATACTGGATGCATGTAATTAGGTTCTAGTTTTTCTAGGTGGAGACATTGAAATGGAGCAAAGCACAGCCAAGTCAAGCCTTGCTTGTTGTTTCCTTCCTATTTCTCCTCCTTTGCATGTCAACTGACAACTGAATGCCATTTGGGATGTGAGGCTGCATTCAAGCTATAGCTGGAAAGAGAGAGAGGGAGGGAGAGAGGGAGGGAGGGGGAGAGAGGGGGGGGAGAAAGAGATTCAGGAGACTGAATAGCCCCAACCAGAATTACCATTCATTTTATTTGGTGATTTCATCACTGTGTACATATACTGAGCTGCATTTTGGAAAAGGAACTCAACTCACAGTACTCGGTAAGAAAAAAATTATAGCTTATTATTACAAGCAAGACTGAATTTCTTAAAATGTTAATGAATATTTGATCAATCCTTGGTCTAGAATGTAGAAATCCATGTAATTGCCACTCAAAACGCATATGGCTGAAGTACAAATTGATTCCAGCATTCATTCCTCCACATAAAATGCGTTAATCTCATGAACATCTCCTTTGGCTTTCCTTGACCATCATAGGATCTATTGCCTGAGAAGAATCAATCATGCATGTTAGGATATGTGGGTCTCCCTTTCTTTCCTTGTTTCTCTTTCTCTTTCTCCTTCTTCAGTCCCATGAAAATCTGTTGGGTTTCTACGATTTGTTTAAAGAGAAAAGATTGTTAGCAAATTTCACATAAATACACTCTTGGCTGAGGCTGACTAATAAAATATTCAGGAAGTTTAATTAATTTATTTTATTGATTTAAAACATTTACATAGCCACCTATTTTTCAACCAACTCTGGGCAGCTTCCAATCAAAAATTAAAAGACCTATAAAATCATATTAAAGCTATAAAACTCAACTAATTAAAACATTAATGTTCTATGTTCTCTGATGGAATTGATTGCCAACATCTGTCTCTTCATATTTATCAATAGGTCTCTTGGCAATTGTTTACTAAATATTAGATATAATTAGGGGAGAATCCAATACAAATTATGCCAACCTTCTATAAAAGAGAAACAGAAGAGATTGAAATTTTAGGGGAGATTAAAGTCGGATTTGAATCCTTTCTTATTTGTGCTTTACTTTTCCCCTAAAGAAATCATTTCTATTTATGGAGTCCTGGATTGAGAAAAAATACTGATGGGTAAACCAAAAGTCTCTGTAAAGGAAAAATTTGATTCCTGCTTTTCATATTGCACCTAAATTTTTTCCCCACATTGATCCTTGTTTTGCAGTGATCAGTCAGTTGATAGATTCACTGCTGCCACATCTAGTTTAACTTGAAAATTGGTGATGTGTTAAGAAAATTTTATAAATCGGGTATGATCAATTTCATACTCTGTTTGGGTCCATTCCCTGTTTCTGTCTTGCTCTGATCCATAACCCCCCCCACACACACAGACACAGAAATCATACTGGATGTTGTAGTCAACAAGTAGTGGTCATAGGCATCTATGAATCAAACATCTCCCCTCACAATATCAGTTTTTACATAAGAGCAAATTCATGCTCATACAGGAGACAGTTGTGACTTCTGGTTTGTTGGCTTTCAGCCTCAAAGCATGAGTGAGATTCTTAGGAAACAGATGGCTTTAGATGGCAATGTGCTCCTTAACTAAATATCTGTGACAAATCAAGAGGAAACAAAAGTCTCTGCCTTCTAGCCTTATTCCTTCTCGTGTTTTATCAGCACTGGATAAACTATGAACTAGGGGCAGAGGGAGCCAACTTTGATGGAACAGCTTTCTAATTGTAACAGACAGAATAGGATGAAAAAAACCTATCAGCTCCCTTATGGATAATCCAGAGGGAATTTATTTCATGACCTTGCCAGCTGTGCAAATAGTGAGGAGGCTTACTTTGGAGAATGGACCAAACAGAATGCTTGGGGGTAAGGTAATACATCTAATGGAAACTAGTAGAATCATGCTGAAAACATGGCTCCATATTGCTATGGTAATAGAACCTGAGACAGTATAGGTTATGCATGCTAAGACTAGCGGAAATCATAAAACAAAGTCCTTAAAGATTGGGGGAAATAAAAGGAGAGAGGGAGAAATAGCAAGTGTAAATGTCTCAACTCTTATATGGTTCAACATGGACAGTCAAAGATGAATATGAAAAGCATGTGGATTTTTTTTTTCAAAAGCCTTCCTGCTCATCTCTATCAGCTCATTAGTCAAAGATAGCTCTAATCACTATGATAAGATCTTTTTGGGGAAAAAAAATGGCCCGAATGACCACCAGGCTCTCCTATTGTTCATTACATGAAATCACACTGTTTCTATGAAGATCACTAGGAATGGTGGAGTGCTTTGATCTGGACTTCCCATTCTTAAGTACAAACTTCACCATTTAATTTCTCAGTTCAGCTCTCCCTTCTCTACATGTCCGCCAACATCTTGGGCCTTTGAAAGGATATAAATGCAACATGTACACAATTGCATCAAAACATGTAAGAACTATATCAAAGTTCAATTTAGCCTAGAGATGCTTCCCCCCTCCCCCCAGGAAGTAACTAGAGAAAAAGTTCCTGGTAGTGTACATGGGTGATGTTTTCTTTGAGCAACAGGATTTCATGCCGTGCATAAATTGTCCACTGAACCTTGGCCCTGGAACTCGAGTATCTGTATTAGGTAAGTCATGTGCTGTGGGCTTTTACATGGATTCAATGATTCTTTGCTGTGGAAACTAGGCACGACATGTAGGATTTTAGGAAGTAACTACTATGTGAAAATTAAGGAGGGGGACAGCATAGTGGGTTATGCAGTGGACTTAAGAAATGTGACTTTGATTCATTGATAAATAACCCCTTACAGTATTTCATCTCAGCCTTCCTTACAGGATTGTGTTGAGGGTAACATGGAAATATATGTATTCCTTTGAACTCCTTATATGAAGGATTCTCCTTGTAAAATATAGATCAATAATCTGGATGCTAAGAATGTCACTATAAATTATAATAAGGTTTATGTGAAGTGACTAGGTGACAGAAAAGCCTAGAAATCTCTTCCATACCATCTTCCTTGGCTATATGAAATATATAAAAATTCAATACCAATAAATAGGGACTCTTTCTGATGGCCACTGCAGTACTGTTTCTATGATTGTACAGATCTATGGCTTATTATTTTTTCTTTTAGTCATACAAATTGGACAATATAAAATGTGGATAGATGAAAGGATTATCTAATTCAAGGTAACTGGTACTGTGGGACACTTATAATTATTATAATATTAATGGCAATAAAGGCACCCAATTGGCTAGGTATTAGTTTATTAAATAATTGAATTTATAACTTGCATGGTCTTAATTCGGATGCTTGCAACTGTTAATAAAAAACAAATGTTCATTGATAAACTCTAATACTCACACAAAATCTATCAATGCTATATAAAATCTATAAATAACAACAGGGCCCCAAGAACAGAGCAAGCATAAACATGTCAAGAAAATATCAGAAGGTTCATTTCAATATTTCAGCTTTGGATATTACTTTTAGACTCAAGGCAATGTTCAGAAACAATTTTTAATAAACAGGAGACACTCCTTCAACATAGCCGTTCCTAGAGGTTCATTTATAGGACAGACATATTGTGTACCTCTAACGAGCTCCATTTTGGACAAGGAACTCGACTGACAGTACTAGGTAAGATCTATGGGAATAAAGGAGATCTGAAGTAATTATTTAGCACATCCATCAAGATAATATGGTATAGAGCTAAGCAAATTGGTTTCTTCCAGATGTTTTGGACCTCAATTTATACTAGTTCCAGCCAATATGCCCAGTGAAGAGGTGAATCCATTTATCTTAAAATAACAGCAATATTGCAAATCAAGGCTTTACTGTTTTTATCCCTGTATAACACACTGGGAGTGTAAGTAGAGAGATGGTCAGAGAATAGAACCGTTCTAACACAACAACAAAGTTTTTTGAGTTAGATGTTTATTATGATACATGGAAAACACATTGTGTGGCAATGAGAAGCTGCACTTTGGTCAAGGAACCAGGCTTACTGTTCTAGGTAAGGATTATATTAAGGGCATAAGAAACATGTATGATGTACATTTCAAGGGCCAGTGTGAATTGTAGTTATCCTACAGTAGCAATGATTCATAAGGAAGGACAATATGACTTTTTTATTCCATATTATAATCTTGATATGAGGCTTGCAGTCCTCCCCTAAATTATAGTATGCTGGTCTCTGAATACCTGGATAATGATAAAGAGATTATAATGTAGAAGGACAGCAGAAAAAAAATGTTTTTTTAAATGAGGGTTGTTAAGTTATTTTGCATTTCTCAAAGCTTTTCAGTCTCAGTTCAGAAGAGTTTCAAACCTCCTGGTCAATCTTATTGGTATTCTCAACAGACTATGTGTTTTCAGATAGTCTGTAGTACAGTGCCAAGAACTGGATGTAATAATTAAGGTAAGGTCTGACCAAAGCAAAACAAAGCTTAGTTGTTATTTCCTGTGATTTGGAATGTATAATTTTGTTAAGGCAGCCCTAAAATTGCATTTGCCTTTTCATTAACTCATACACAGCCAGGCATCTTATCTTGTAATGGAAAATTAGTAACCAGCCTGTAATGACTGATTTCATATATCCAACAATGATTTATCTAGCTGTAGATTCACTGCTACTACTCCCTGTCAAAAAATCATTCCCTTTGTAACCTCTGGATTACAAACTCTGGACCCTTCCTTACTCAATATATATTAAGCTACAAAGGGATATAGGGCAAGGGAACCAGTCCTTGATCACATGGTCTACATTCTCAGGTCCTAAAAACTGATGTTATTTAAGAATATGGGCAGCATAGTGTGGATATCCCAAAGGTGCTTTTTCAAAGGGCAACTGGACTTTCTTGTTTTTTCTTGAAGATGTTTCACTTCTCATCCAAGAAGCTTCTTCAGTTCTGACTGAATGGTAGGGAATGGAAGGATTTATACTCCTTGCAGTCATCTAATTGTTAGTACTCTTTCTGAGAGATGTTGAGGCCACTTGAAGGTTAATCTGTGCCCTCGGAGTCACCTGAATAGTGCAAATGGGTGTGGAAACTTCTTGGAACTGTTGAAAGGATTGTGTTGTAAACAGGAGATAGGTGTCTCGTATCCCCCCCTCTGTTGAGAGAGGGCTGTTCAATCTTAAGGTAGATGGCCTCTTAAAGATAAACCTCCAAGGAAGTTCCCCACCATTCAGTCAGAACTGAAGAAGCTTCTTCAACGAGTAACAAAATGTCTTCAAGTCAAAACAAAAATGTCCAATTGCCTTTTGAGAAAACATCTTTGAGACAACCATGACCTGGTTGAATGAGAATCTCCATAGACAGATAGTGTGGATACTTCCACAGATGGAACTGCCTCAACTATAAAAACTAAGCCCACTCCTGTCTATGTGGGAAAACCCCATTTTGAAAGATGGTATATAAACTCAGAAAAGGCCAGGTCTGGTGTAATAGTTAAGGCCTCAGGTTATAAAGTGGGAAACTCTGAGTTCTAGCCCCTGCTTAGGCATGAAGCCAGCTATGTGACCTTGGGCCAGCCACTCTCTTTCAGCTCTCTTGTGTGCCAATGGCACACAACTTCTAAAAGCTTGCCCAAAAAACTTTACGGACTTGTTCAGGTAGCTGCCAGGAGTCAACACTGACTCAAAAGCAAAACAAAAAACAAAAAAAACCCAAACACAGCAAACAAACAAACAAACAAACAAACAAACAAACAAACAAACATGCAGTTCTACCATTCTCTGAGTATAGGTTTGGATATCAAGACCTGAGCAATGCTTGGAGCTGCAGGTGAAACAGAGACAATGCCTGATTTCCTCCCCATCTCATCTTTCTGCTGATTCTCCATAGAACTCATGCCATCACTGCAAGATTGATTGATTGATAGGTGCATATAGGGTATTTAGCCTTTCTTGATTCTCAGCATTTAATGACTGACATCTGAATGAGCCCATCCTGCTGAAATGCCCTGTGCTTAAGTAAGAAGGAGCCAGCAATATTACTTCATGATGCAATTGGCAAGCTGACATATTTAGGTCAACTATAGCTTGAGGAGGTTTGTCATCTTTTTCATTATATGTTGCTTTATCTTCCAGAAAAAGGACACCTTCTCACCCCCCCAACTGTGACTATATTTTCTCCATCCAAGAGAGAACTGAGAAAAAAGCAGAAAGCTACAATTGTATGTTTGGCCACTGATTTCTATCCAGATCATGTCATTCTTACATGGTCCCTAAACAACAATCCTATAACAGAGGGAATAAAGACAGAGGAGCCCAAATATGAAAATAAGAAATATTCACTGATCAGCCGTTTAAGAATCACTAGTAACCAGTGGCAGAATTCAAAAAACAACTTCAAGTGCAAAGTCGATTTCTACAATTCTTCTACAAGCACAAGTTATGAAGCTTCAATAACTGGAGAAGGTGGGTGAAAGGAAGATCAAGTTTCACTTTCTGAGGCTTTTCTGCACTTCGCTAGAATTGTCCACATGCTGCACTTGTGAGCATTTTAAAATATATCTTGCTAAACAAAATTACAAATATTAGCAAATGTTCAATCCCTGGGCAAATGTGATAGCTTACACTAAATCTTTTTTGTACTGATTCATTTTCTCATAATTAACTATTAGTTTCTCTCTCTCTCATCGTATTTGTCCGTTTGCAAAATTTGATAATTTTCTGATCTGTGTCTACGGGTTTCAGATACAGCCAAAATGTCAGAACATAGCAATGTTCTTTTACTATTTTTCCATTTTTATTATCTCTTAAAAATATTTACATGTAACCTCTAGTGCCAATCAGAACAATGACTTTAAGGAGTGAGTTTTGAGCCTTGCTTCAGAAGCACTGCCTTTAAATATCAGAATATATCTACCTAATATTAAATGTATAGAATTTATAGGATGCACACACACACTTTAGAAATTATACATGTCTAATAATCTTGAGCACAAGTTTGCTCCATTTTCTATTCTTTCTTCTTTGTGTGGGATTTCTTAGTTGTAGTAGAAATGACAATGATGATGATGATGATGAAATATAGCTAATGAGAATTTTCCTCCTTCTGTTTTTAGAATGTGATAGCAACACCCCCACAAATGGTAAGTCAAATTCAGTCTCTTGATTCCAAATGTGTATTACACTGAATCTTTAACTTTCTCTAGGACCCCTAATAGAAAGCGGGCTTTTAATTAAGTGTGGCTGAATTCAACATGTTACATTCCTGACAGATACATTTAATTTGGCAAATGATTTGAATATAACTGTGAAATTTAACCCAAAAGGCAGGGACTTTTGTATGTAGATTTGATTTCAGTATCACTGAGGATTTCCCCGTCTTCAGGAAAAACAAAATCGTATCTTAAAATACAGCAACAGGACCATCTTATTTTTTAAAAGCTATTTTGACTTAGTTGGAGTCTTGGGCAGATGGAATACAAATTACTACTATTTGGGATGATGATAGGAGAAGCATCAGCAATGGTTTATTTCTTTTAAACAGTTTGTAAAAAAACAAGTAAATTCTCTCACATTTTAAAATGGAAGCAAAGAGAGTGCCCATTAGACCAGATATGCAATCATTTTTCCTCTTACTGGCTCCAGGTGTGGATTTGCACAAGAAAAATATAGGGTTGAAGTTTGGAAAGATGGGGACAAGAGCGAGATGATAGGTTGTCAATTCAGTAAAAGCAAATCAAAACAATTCACCCTCCCCCCCCCAAAAAAAACCTGGGAGTAAGGAAAGACTTTTGTTCTTCCCTACAGCTTCTGCTCCCAGGATATCTTTCTCAAAGGGGGGGGTTCTCTTTTTTTTTTTAATAAAAGGTAATATTCCATGGATAAATATTTAAATATATTGCAGAGATGTGGTGCCTCAGCTCAAAGAATTTCTGTATATTTTATAGTTTGCCTCTTGAAATCATGTATTCCAGAAATGTGCTGGGGAAGGGAGGAAGAGTAAAACAGTTCAACAGAAGGAGGTTACACTGTCTAGCTTCAACTTGGTTTTATATATACTGTAAATATATATGCAAATATTATATAGATGTATACAATTCTTATATTGTTATTTTCCCCTAACCTTCACATTTAGATTCGTATCTTAGGCAAGCCAATCTTGGAAAACTGGTGTATATTCTTCTCATTTTCAAGAGTGCCTTGTATGGGGCATTTATAATGCACTTGAAACTAAGAAAGAAAGGTAATGTGCCATGTCTGTTCTTTATATCCAGATTTATCCAATTCCTGAGAAAAATGCATTGTATGTGTTATCCTGCCCTTAACAATATCCCCTTCCAGTCTTCACTGTTTAAAGATTCCTACAGTCTTTCCCTGCAGCTGAATTTAAATGTTCCTCACCCACCCTTGAAGGGGCAGTTAATGATTGCTGATCTTGATTCTGCCTCAGTTCCTAATCACTGTCAGTCCCTTGATTTTCTTCCTTGGTGATGGAGGACGAGGCCTTGAACCTGACTTTGGATGGAGGTTAAGAGAGGCGTTTGCCTTACTCATGTGTGCTGGGAAGGAGATGAAGGCAAATCATGGGGGACACGGCAGAAAAAACAAAGCTATTGGGTGAGTTTCTAACATGGTTAGGTGAAAGAGATGGGGGAAAACACCCTTAATTAGATTAATCTAGATAAGACAATGGATACACGACCCAATTCCCTCATGGCAATCTGGACAATAATATCCATAAAGAGCCCAAATCTTGGATGGCTAGCATAAAGAAGGATAAATTATTTCACCATAGTCATGGTCTGTTTATGTAGGCTTTTTGACATCTTCAGAACTTTGGCTGTTGTTCTGTCAAGTCAATACTGAGTCCTGGTGATTGCCTGGACTAGTCCCTTTCATGACAAAGATTTTCAGAAGTGGTTTGCCCTTGCCTCCTCACCATCTCCCAGTTTCTAGCCTGATGCCTTAACCACTACATCAAACTGGCTCTTCTAATCTTTCCAGTTTATTATTACTTAAAATTGTATGGCTCTCATCCATTTCACTGGATTCAGGGAGTATTATCAAGGTTCTACTCTACACATTTCTGAAATGAACTGTTATTTATGAAAGAGATAATCAATTGATTACACCTGAAGGACCCACAAGACTCTGATATACTTCCCTGAAGGCGTAAGATATTCCTAACAGGTATCTTTGTGTACCACTGACATATAAGACTGCATACGTAGCTCTGGAAAGTAAACCCAAAATATATATTATCATAATCTAAATCATGATTATGATTAAACAAATATATGGAATAAACCACCCAAGATTTGCTTGAAGTTGGAACTGAACTGGAGCAGAGGGCTCATCATGCAAGAAAAGACAGATTGTCCAGTTTTTTTCCAACATCTTCCCTTTCACTATGGGAATTCTGTACTCTGCATCTGGACTCTTTAATCAAAGAGACGTCCTGTATGAAATGTGCCCCTGGGCCTTTAACGGTTGCTGTGGTGTCTAGAAATACGTAACACAGTAACAGAATAACAGTGTTGTAAGGGACCTTGGAGGTCTTCCAGTTCAACCCCCTACTTCAGCAGGAAACCATATACTATTTCAGACAAATGGTTGTCCGATATCTTCTTAAAAACTTCCAGTGTTGGAGCACCCACAACTTCTGGAGGCAAGTCGTTCCACTGATTAATTGTTCTAACTGTCAGGAAATTTCTCCTTAGTTTTAGGCTGCTTCCTCCTCGCTTAGTTTCCATCCATTGCTTCTTCTCCTGCCTACAATTGTTCTTTGTATGTTTTGTCCTCCAATGACCTAATCATCTTCTCTGCGCTCCCTCTAGAGTCTCAACATCTTTTTAATATTGTGGTGATAATAAAAAAGATAAGATATTTAATCCAGGATTAATTAGTTGCCCTTGTTTCCTTTTTTCAGTCGTGTGACAGTTGATGCAATAGAAGCCTTTTGCCTGGGGACATCATGTCTGAGTTGAATGAATGCTGGAGAAAAGAAGAAGAATGATTCTTGTCTTCAAATTCTGAAGTAGCATTATGATTCTTTTTAAAATAAAAATAAAAATGTTTCGTTGCTCCCAATTTTATCTTACTGTTCTATATCTATTGGAGCCTTCATAGCATTTTCATGTCTCTCTGTGGTTTTTAAAAATATTTAACCATGTTTACTTTGAAGGAAACATACATAGAATTGCAGCTTTACACCGAACATGAACTTGTCTCTCCAGAAAATGGACTCCATCGAAACTCGTTCCCCCCAGACATGTGCCATAAGATTATAGAGATGTCACACAATTTGATGCATGCAAATTCTACTGAATGTGATAGGGTTAGATTGAGATGCAAAAGATAGAAGCATCTTGACCTTTTAAAGTTCTTATAACTGAGATCAATAGGCTTTAAAATGCTTAATGTTGACTTTTTCACATGTCAGTAAATCTTTATTTCTTTACCTGTTTTTAGTAAAATCATCCCTAACAGAAAACTTTGACAGAGTTTCGTGTGTTTCATTCATAAATCCAGAGGTATCAAATTTAAGATGACCAAATGTTGCAAACTAATTCTTCTAAGACAAATATTATTTTACAAGTGGAGGGGGATGTTGAAGGTTTTTCCTGTTTTAACTGATCAAAGATGCCCTAGTTTTTAGTGAAATATATATCTAATACTTTTCAATAAATTTTGGCATTAAAGTGTTATAATACCAAAGGCAATTAGGTGGAAATGAACACAAAGTCTGTCTCCATATTATAATTATATAGATAAAAGCTGGTAACCCAGATCTTTTTTCTGCAGTTCAGGTGATCAGCTATATGAACTTTGTTGTTGCTGTTATTGTTGTTGCCAGAGGTGTCTGCAGGAGGGAGCTTATGGTATAAGCAGCAGCATTGCACTATAAGCACTACCTCTTTTGTACATGTGTTGTGATGTTGCACATAGATATGAAACAGGCATAGCTTGCATTGCAACATGGGAACATCATTTCAGTATTTTGACAAAACTAAACATGTCTGATATCTGCTTGCAGCTCTGGAGTGCTTTTCCCTGGGAAAGAAGTTTCAAGAACTAGCCATATTTGGTTCATAATGCTATGAGCGAGGAGATCTTCCTCACATTATACTGCATATGAAACAGCATGCAAGAGGGGACATCCCTTTGATCTTGATTGGTTCATACTGTAGTGTGATATATGGTGAGCTATATGTGCAATGAGATATTGCTATCATTTAGAGCAGAGGCACCCAACCTTATGGGTACCAGGGACCGGTTCTGTGGAGAAAGGTTTTTCCATGGACCGGAGAGTGCGTGGTTTTGTGTACTGCCTGCATCCCACAGATGGGACTTTGCTTGTTTGTGCGGACTAGTTGCGGGCATGCCGCAGCCCAGTACCAGTCCAAGGGCCAGAGGTTGGGGACCCCTGACTTAGAGCAAGATATCAATTCTGGAAATGGAACAATCGGATCTCTCTCCCTCTCCCTCACACACACACATGGGGGGCGGGGAGAGAGAGACAGGGAGTTAGAAAGATAAATTCCATTTACCATTTTCTATACTTCTTCATATTTTTTAATTCATGCAAATGGCATGATTTCTGTCCAATTCAGTCCTAATTCAACCTGCCCTTAAAACTGAGGCACCTCAATATTTTTCTTTCATCTGGATCACTCACTTTTGTATTCAATCTGTATTCTTTCATCATCTATTTATTTTTGACTCTATTACTTCTTTCTTTCTTTCTTTTTTTAAAAAAACACATATGGTTCACCCATCCCTCCCTCCCATTCCTACTGCATTCAAGTTACTTTTATCTTTCTCTTGATATATCCAACTTTTACTTCCTTATAATAAAATGGGTAAAAGCATGTGTTACACATAATGCATCCTGACACCATAGGGCTAACATTAGGTGGCAAAAGGGTGAAATTTTAGCATTGTAGTTTTGGGCCATTAGAGTGCTGGTTAAGGGTGCTTCTCAAGCCAGAAAAAATTGAAACACACACACTTCCTAGTAATGTCAAGGTTTTACCATAGCCCTCTTGGAATTTGGATGGCTGATTTGTGTCTTCTGACTCCTCACAATGCCCATTGCTATAAATATGAAATATTTGCATGTGAAATGTCAATATATGAATAATTTTATCAACAAAGAGACAAGGAAGACAATTTTTGAACAACACGGTTTTGGAGTTGTTTTGCTTCTAACATAATTTTTGAGATCCTTTCTTGCATTTCCTCCTTCTCCTTCTCCTCCTCCTCCTCCTCCTCCTCCTCCTCCTCCTCCTCCTCCTCTTCTAACCCATCAGTGATATCATTGTATCTATTTATGTTACATTACTTTATCATAATATAATTATATAAAATGAAAAATCCAAGTGATGTCCGCTGCTGTCTGGGAGGCCTCATCAGTTAGTTTTTGTGAGAGACAGACATTTTAGGTATGGTCATTCTGAAAAGCATATATAGGCAAGAAATTGTAGGCTAGGTGGTGATGCTAAAATGGACACCCTAACCATCAGCTCAACCAACATAAAGAAAACACTAACTCAGTAAATCATCTTTTATTTTTTGGCAGAAGAGGAATGATAAATTATTTTCCCTGGGTAAATTATTTTCGTATTACAATATGAAATGCTGTCACACTGGTAGTCAACTTGTCATTCTTGCTGTATGAAAAGGAGAAAGAAGGGCTTGTAGTACACAACAGGATGTGGCTTGATATTTCCCTGTATAACAGTTTGTTTTGAGCAGTGGTTATCATGGTATCTGTTCCATTACATTACAGAGGTTCAGTGATCTGTCATCCTTCCTGCTTTGGTTTTAAATAGTCATATATCTACATCTCACCTCTGCAAGTGGTTTTGTTGCCTGGAGCTATCACACCATCTTTTGCTTCACCCCAAACCTTTTGATTGATGTTGCAGGTGCACCAGCTGAAGAAAAGGCAGAATGTTTCAAATAGAAAGTTTGTGGGGATTAGACGTTACTGCTGATGTGCTTTGATAAATGGAGAGGATCAATGTTTTTTGGGGTTGAGCTATGTCCGGTGCTGATTTTTTTTAAAAAAAAATGTGGCCTCAAATGCTCTAGGTTTCAGTGACATCTTATTCTGTCCTTCAGAAGACTCCCCTGTTGTTTGGAGCTTGCTTACTATGGGACTGTATTGTCTTCATCATGTAATCTCTACATTTGCCTTTAAGTGGGCTGAGAAGTGGTAGTATGGTTAATGTTGCTAGTACTTTACACCAAGAAAATAAACGAATTAAAAGTGGAGAATTTAGGCCACATAGCAGCGAAATACCCAGAGGTTTTTTTTTTAAAATCAGGATGCGGTTGTCCCATTTCAACTTTCCTACAAATCAGCAAAAAGTTTTTGTACGTTTTGTTACATTTCAGCATTGACCATATCTGAAAAATGAGATGATAACCCACATGGGTTACTATGCTACTATTTCAGACCTTTTGTTGCTGGAATGTGAATTTATTCTACATTCAAATAACAAGCTTCATCATCACCCTGCAAATGTTGGGCATGTTCTAGCCAATGAGAAGCATATCTTAAGTGTGATGGAATGTGCACCTGTAGCAGCAGAGGGTGAGGATTTTACCAGCTCAGAACTTTCTCAGGAGACCCATATCAAGAGACTGTACAGTCCCAAGCTGGAAGAGAGACATGGAAAGAGATTCTGGGTAGCCATACCCTACAATCTCTCAGGATATACCTAGTAGGTTAGAAGGTTATAGCTATAGCTTGACAAGATTCTGTCTACTAGGTATAAGCAAATAAAGGACTGGATTCAAATAGATCTCACTGTCTCAACTTTGAGTTTAAGTCTGACATTAGGTTGCACTGATGTCCCTGAGACAACATGAAGTTGAGTGCTTATTATCCTGTTGTAACAACTTAACATCACATTATTATCCCCATTTTTTTGTTTCCTCAGATGGTCTTTTACCACCACTTTTCAGTTATAAGACTATACGATAACCTAAAATTACAGTTTTTGTTACTATAACCGAAGATACACCTTTATGAATGACACCCAAAGCTTCCTCTGATTCCATTATACTTTTCAAGTGATTCTTTTGTTATACTCTGAGCACTGCTACATTTACTGTATTGGTTGAATGTAGATTCATCCATTCCTATTTTAGTTTGCTGCATAAAAATGATGATGTACTCACAGCAACACAAGTTCCTCCATAAAATTGCTTATCAAGAGCATCAAAGTATAGAAATAAGAACCCTCAATTTTTTATGGCATTGGATATTGTGATGGAAAATAGTTGTACTAGAATTGTTTGGAAGCTTATTGAAAATTTGCTAAATGACTTTAGCCCAAAGTAATAGAAACTACTATGTTAGGAAAAGCCTAGTGAAGAACAACTGGGAATGCATGCTGATAATTAAAAACCTGGAGGTGTGCATAAATTTAAAAAGTATTTATTAAAGTGATACTTAAGACATAAGCAGGTTCAACATGGCTCCTAGGTAACTGATATACAAAAAACAAAAGAAAGAAATAAAAATGAGAAAACGATATGCTGAAAGAGTGAATGCTGGAAGAAAGCTCATTACCTAAGGTTAAAAAAGGATAATATTACAAATGTAGAACTGTGTTATTCAAGGTAAATGTAGATTTGATGTTTATATGATTAGTTTATGGGCCACAAACATTTCAAGATATAAATATCAAACAGATCAAATCTATGTACCCAGGAGATTACTTAGATTTAATCTGCCAATGTTATATTTGGGATTGTCTTCTCAAATGTATGGTTGAATGAGAATTTTGTGGAGTTCTGTAGGCCCTTCTTGCAGAAAAATAAATATCATTAATAGCAAAGTAACATTTAGGAAGCCCAAAATGGATGATTGAAACTTAAATTAAAATTTAAAATTTAAAATGAATGATTTAAAGAGGTGGCTTCTTTGCCAGCACTCACAATACATTATTGTGCTTTTGGATTTGTCATCTGATTAGTTTAACAGGAGCTGGACTTGATACTTAGCAAAGAGATGAAGTAGTTCCTTTGTTGAAATATTATATCTCTTTTTAAATGATTAAGATCTTAAACATTTCTTAGTGACAACAAGCATCAGCTTATGATTTGGTTTATTCAGAGACTGGAAACCAATCCAATGATTTCTCCAATTGCCTCATGTTGGTACAAAATTCAAACCTGAATCCACCGAAAATCAATTTTGGCTGGGTTCTACTTATGCTAAATTGCAACGTGCTACATGTAGCTGAATGCATTACAGGAATCCAGCAACTGAGGTTCACAAATCATGAACATGCTTAATATGTTTTTTTGAATCCAACTCATCATGAATTATTTGTGATGGAGTCCTGAAAATTCTAGTAGAGTTTCTGGTTGGGAGAACTGATGTTCCTGCCATGTATTTGTTATCTTGTGGGTCTGGGTAATAAGACACTACTTGCTAACAGTTCTTCCTAGTGGGTTC